AGTGATTCACTTTGACCATGTGGCAGCTCATTCGTCTTTTGTTGTTTTTTTTTTTTTAAATAACGAGAAAAATTAGGAGAAAATAAAAAACATGTCCTGTCATTTAAAATACTTTTGAAGCCTTCGACATTAATTATAAGCAGTTTAGACATAACGAAGCTGAAATGCCTTAGCCTGCAATGAATAACTGAGGGTGCCATATGGTAAATATTATTAGGCTTTAATAATAAAGCAGTTTAACATCAAAGAGTAAGAATGTTCTATTGTTTACTGCATCAAGAATCCCCTTAACAATCATTAGATATAATTTTTATGTTGTAAAAACATAAACATAAAGTAAAATTTCTTAATTCTTGGGTGCTCCATGGCTATTTTGGTTCCAAAATATGTAATGCCAACACACAATCAACATGGGCCCGGATGACAAGGTGGATACAAAGTGAACTGAGGCTGGTACGATGTGACCAGAGTGGTTAATGAAATAATACACAAAGCCTAGAAAATCGTTTTGCAAGCTGTGAACACAAAAATGGGTCAATATTTAGCTAAATTTGATCAAGAAAAATGTAGCTGCACAGCTCACTGGTCAAAACAGAGTTGGATGAGACGGAAGCTGAAAATTTGCTTTTTCCATTTAATTTTCTTGACATTTGTAGTCATCTACTAGAACTGTCAACCTGTTCAGGGTGTACCTGATGGGGATTGGCGTATCAATCTTAGTATTGATACTACCAAGATGAGTATCTGTATTGGATAGATACTATTGTAATGGGATCGATTATTTTGTTTATTTACAATTTATTTGCACTACTGACTTTATTTTTCACAARAAACAGAAAAATAAATTCAGTAGTGCAGAGTCTCTAAATTGTTTGTAGTTAGTCATTAAGTCCTTTACATCACCTGCATGCAATGAAAGGTATTTTTTGTTTTGTTTACATTGTAATATTTCCATTTTTGTTACATTCTTTTTTTTTCACTAGTGGCTTCTTTCCTAAACAATTTCCATGCAATAAAAGGTAATACGGAAATTATTATTTCTATACCGTTATCTTGTTTCATTTTGTTGTAGTTAGTTAGCGGTAAAATTTTTTGTCATGTTTTATCAAAAAGACCTGCATTTACTTGGTATCGGATTTATACCAAAAGCTCTGGTAGCATCCACCCCTAGTACCTGACAGTCACTTGTTGACTGCTGGGATTTGCACCATCTCTCCACAAGTCTGAACAGAGTTCTGTTAGTAAAAATAATAATAATAAGAGATTTTCTAGTGTTGCTTTAATGAGAAAAAATTGTTCCTTTTTATTGACTGTTTAACGTGTAATAATACCAGAGTAAAATAGAAATGTACTTCAATAGCCTTTTGCGCATGCGCGAGACAAAAAAAGACAACACTGTTCTAACTCTAAACGGAGGTGGTTGATAGGGCCAAAGGGCATTTGGTAACTGGCAGTCATTTTATGGCTGCATTACTGAATCAGATTTACTTAGATGACGTCAGTGGCTTTGAGCCAGCTTTTCCTTTTTGGTGTCTCTCTGTGTGTTGGCCTCAGTGGGACTTTCTCAAACTGCTGAGCAGCAGTGCACACTCTAAAATTCCCTTTCTAGACCAGGGTTTACCTCGGGGCACACACAGCCAGCGAGCCGGCAGCAGAGTCCTTCTTTTGCTTTGACTGTGAAGAATGAATGTTTTGATGTGATCCAGCCTCTGGTACAAAAATAAAACATCCATTGGTGCAATTAATGACTCTGTATAACAATCTAATTATAGACATCAGTCATTTTTTTAAAGTCATTAACTTTCATTACATAAAATGTATATTAATCTGTATTATAGTTTAAAAAAAGATCAAGAGGTAAAGACAAATAAAATCATTGTTTTGTTTTTCTTTATATAAAAATGCTAAAATCAGAAAACTCACAGAGTTGTTGAAAGTTACTCACTGCAATGTCATGGAGACTGGTTAAAAAAGAACAATTTCTAAAATAATCCTCTCGGTTTTTTTCTTTGCTCATATTAACGACTGATGTGACCCTAAARTAAAAACATGTAAGCAAAAATTGAGAAATCCCAGGTGTGTTTATTAACATACAGAAAGAGCAGAAGGGACAGGAAGTAGGTCAACAATGGAACCATCCATGGAAGAGCCGTTTGGGATAAAGAAGTCCGACAATTGTTATGCAATGTTACGTAATTAAGTTCAAATTTGTCGAGAATGCAGATAAAATATTTTGTTTGCCTTGAGTGTGTACCTACATTTCAGATTTACAAATCCAAATATTTAAAAATCTACGGAAGCAAACTTTTTTAAACCATATTTTATGTTTGATTTCACAGTTTGCAACAGTGACAACTATGAATAATTCAAATGCTTCATTAAAACATTAGGATAGGATTTTTTCCCACTCTTCATTTGTAAATGTTGGGTAATAAAGACTAATAGCTGTTACACAAAAAACGTTATATGTTTTTTGTAAAATAAAATCTATAAGAAATGAGAAAAAAATTCCAAATMAACAAAATTTTGAATGAAAAGGTCATTTTTTAAACCAAATGTTACACTGATAAATAAAGTACATTTTTGTGGAAACGATTTCCCCAAAAGTCAAACAGGAAGGACTTTCTTAACGTAATCACAAAATCAGTCTAAAGCTATTTCTTTTTGCTGTTAAATTGTGTTAATATAACACGCTGTTAACAGGTTAGATGTGTTTCCTCTTTGGCGATGAATTTCAGTAGTATTCAAACTTCTCAGGGCTGTCGTATCAGTCCAGATAACTGTAGTTACGTATTCAATATATTCCAATTWATTATTGTCATATTCTGTTGTTACTGAATAAGATGGAGGTGTGCAAACTGCAAATGCCAAGCTCGAAAACACCGACGGACGAAATGACTCGTTTGATACAACAAGATACTCGCAGCGTTTTGCAGTAAAGCGCAAACTGAATAAGGACATCAGCCAAACGTCTGACCAAAATACCATTCTCTAAAGGTTAACAAGAGAAGAGAAGAGTCTCGCTTGGCTCCAAGAAGTAACACAATCCACTCTGCGCTTGACAAAAGCACATTATTCTGTCCACACTTCAGCACAGATAGACTACACTCTCTACAGTCCTGCCCTCTCTGACCTGAACGAGGCAGCAGAAAGGAAGACAACCTGAACAATGAGGCAATATATCTACAAGCACAATCTCTTCTCATCCAAACATTTATCTGAATCTGCTTCTTTTAGACAATGTTGCAAAATGATCTCTGTAAGATTTCRTTAAGYACACTTTTYCTCATAATTATSTTAAAATAAGGTCTAATCCTAATATATATTTTAAAAAAAGGGTGATCCTGTTTCTATCAACCTCCTCAAACCTTTGCTGATAATACTTAATGTGCGCTAAAGAAAGACAGAAAAAAAATCAGAGCAAAGTCTCAGTCAAAACAGATACAACAAGTTATTCTTGTCCAAATGTRTTTTAGGCTTCTGTCCAACAGATTCAATGGTTACATAAGGAGGAAAAAAACAAACAAACAAAGAATCTTTTCTTTTCTTTTTTCCTTATTCTTCTTATGAAGCAAATATACACTGTGACATGTTTGGGACTGACACCTGACTGCTGTCGAGCTGTTTTCCTCAAAATAAAAGCAACGTTTTTCTTTAAATCCCTAAAAATAAAATGACGTTTGTGATGCAACGATACATTAAATATACATATCTAGTTTAAGGCAGCGTGTTTAAAAGTGCACAGAGGTGGCTGACTTACAGCTACATTTACACTGAAAAGAAGAAAGGCACGTAAAGCTAATTAAGACAAATAAAAGCACAATTGGCGAGCTGAAAAAGACTGACTACATGTACTGGATGGTTTATATTATTGTTCTCAGCTAAGTGAATAATCTATTAAAACAACCTGATTAAATCACACCAGGCTATCAGAGCTGTGTCAACTGTGGCCTGATTATCTGTTTGTGAAAAGCAAAACCAAACTATTTAAAAAACATCAAACACAGCAGAAAGCGGGCCTTACATAAGAATATAGTTTACGCTTCATTCACAAAAAAAATTAGAGTGCCTTGCCATGCAATAGTCAAAAGTTTGAAGAACGTGATATTTTCTTGTGCACAGTATTGATCTGAGAGGTTTGTAATCATATCGATTATACTGTCAGCTTTTAAAACAGAGATGGAATAAAAATTGATTAAAGCGTATATCCAAAAGAAACAAAAGTGCAAAACTAGACAATCACGTGTTGRATTTGAACTTGTTTTGAATGTCTTTGCAAAGATTTATTTTTTAAAGTTCTCTCTTGGGATTTGTGTGTGTTGTGTCCTAGGGTTTTGAAGGGGTGTAAACGTTATTTCCATATAACCGTGTGAAGCGTTAACCTTTTTTAAAACTCATCATCTGACTAATTATATATTTTTTTTCTTACTCTGCACATAACCTTGACGCACAGGGAGGCAAAATGAACCCAAGTCGGTTACAAAAAGGAGGCAAACTTTACTGGCAACATTACAGAATTCATTTTTTCTGCTCCTAATTTTAATAAATGCTTTAAGTTTCCAATAAAATGTGGCTGAAAAGACAGTGACTGACAGAGTTGGTCTCCAACTAGAGAGGAGGGGAGCTGAGTTTTAGCTGAGCTGGCAGAAAAGAAGACAACACTGGAGGAAACTTCAGCTTATTTGTAGCTTTAAATTTTAATAAATCATGTTTTTTTTTAGATAAATGGTTCTTCATAAGTGGGTGTTGTAATGAATCTAACAATAAACAGAAAGCATCACAACAGTCTCCTTTTATGCTGCTTTAAACTATCAAAGAAGTGAAAAGACTGCGTTGATTTTGATCCAGCTCTTAGTTTTTGTGCGTTAAAGCGAAACAACAAGAGTTTCAGGCAAAGCTTTCTCCCCCCCACCTCAGTTACAGTAACAACATGGAGACAGCTGCACAGACTGTGGAGAGAGGAAATCACAAACAATAAGAAAAGAAAAAAAAATACTTACAAAAAAACTTCGACGGCGGCTTAAAGCAGCGCCGTCCACCGAGCTGAAGCAACAAGTCTCCCCGCCGTGGTCGCTTTCTCCTCCGGGGTGGTCCGAAAACGCTCCGGTGAAATCTGCCAACAAGTCCCGGCTGAGCTGAGCCAACTACGGAGAGGAAAACAGCAGCGATTTCAACCGTCATCTTGTCCAAAAGAAGGAAAAAAATAACAACAACAACAACACACACACAAAAGCTGTAATTCGTTCTGGTATATTTTTAGTTCTTCCCGAATAAAGTCCCGAGTTTCCCCCCTCCTCACAGCCTGAAACAATCAGGCTTTTTCTGAGAAGAGGGCGTACGATCGGGCTTCTTTACAAAAAAAAATGTGAAAAATGTCAAAGATTTTCTGCTGCCGTGTCAAAGCCACGAGCTGCAACAGTGTTTAAAGTGAGCACCCTGTTGCAACAGCGGCCATCTATTCCCACCGAGGAAACAAARCAGCAAACGTCACGTAATGGGACATAATAAACACAGGAAAACGTTTTAATACGCTGAGCAGCATTTCCAAAAAAAAAACAAACAGCTAAACTAAACCTCCATGAATAGAAGTCTACAACCAGTTTGCGTACCTGCAACTATCACTGAAACTTACCTCGTTATTGATATCTCATATACAAATGTCCCTTTCTTTTGATATTATGATGTTACTGGGTATTTTTGAGTACTATGTTTAAGTTATTCGGGTGTTTCTGGGCCAGCCAGGAAGGTTGTAGGTGAATCGCTTCGCGCACTGACAAGAGATGCGAAGAATGCTCGGAATGAGAGCAGGAATGAAATGAACGCGAGGGAGCGAGTTTGCGCCGGGGGCGGAGCGAGAGGTGGCGTCATRCCGAACCCCGGCGGCCAGCAGGCGGCCTGGGAGGCAGGCAGCAGCAGCCGCGGCGCGGACTGGGAGGAGGAGGAGGGCACTGAACGTCCCAGCTGCTGACGCCTTCAGGGAACACTCCGATTTTACAGCTTCACGGCCCTCTTTTGCTTGTAGGATACTATGGGGGCAAATCATGGTTCAAGAGTTGCACAAACCGGTTTGGGTGTAGTAATTGGTTAGGAGACTATAAATTAATGACAAAACAGATTAAGTCTGAATATAAGTAGTAAAGACCAAGTACTTGAGACTTTTTTCACTTGTTGCCTCACAAAAATAAAACCTGATAATTATTAATTTTTTTTAATACATGATATTTATTTTGTTCGTTTAATAATATAAAAACAATTAACAATGTTAATATTTGAGACATGTACAGTTAAGACTAGAAATAGACATAAAAACATATTGGGGCACAGCACAGGGTGGCAAGTCACTTTATAAAACAGCCATATTCACATAGGTACTTTTTAAGTTCCCTGGTAAGTACCCTGTATGTACCCTACCATGTGAGTACCCCCTTCCCATAATACCCTGCAACTATTACCATACATACCATTTGAATGCCATGTAATTACAGTAAATTGTATGGTATGGTATGGTATGGTATGGTATGGTAT